AGTTAGCGTATAGAACAATTACTGTGTACAGGCTTCCAATTCGTACAGTTTGCTTCATGTTATAGTTAGCGTATAGAACAATTAGCGTGTACAGGCTTCCAGTTCTTACAGTTTGTTTCGTGTTATAGTTAGCGTATAGAACAATTAGCGGGTACAAGCTTCCAGTTCTTACTGTTTGTTTCGTGTTATAGTTAGCGTATAGAACAATTACCGTGTACAGGCTTCCAGTTCTTACTGTTTGTTTCATATTATAGTTAGCGTATAGAACAATTAGCGTGTACAGGCTTCCAGTTCTTACTGTTTGTTTCATGTTATAGTTATCGTATAGAACAATTACCTTGTACAGGCTTCCAGTTCTTACTGTTTGTTTCATGTTATAGTTATCGTATAGAACAATTACCGTGTACAGGCTTCCAGTTCTTACTGTTTGTTTCATGTTATAGTTAGCGTATAGAACAATTACCGTGTACAGGCTTCCAGTTCTTACTGTTTGTTTCATGTTAGAATTAGCGTATAGAACAATTACTGTGTACAGGCTTCCAGTTCTTACTGTTTGTTTCATGTTAGAGTTAGCGTATAGAACAATTACAGTGTACAAGCTACAACTACACATGTCGGTTCAATCTTAACTTATTTCAGTTTACTTTTTTTTCGTTTGATTTTGATTTTTCAAATTTTGTATACCAATTCATTTTTTTTTAAATTGAAATGAAATTTAATTTATAATGTTTAAAAACCTTTCTGAATTATCGTTAATATCTTTTAACATATTTTGCATTATATACAGACTGAAGGAAAAAGAAAATGGCAGATACTACCAGAAGTCCATGAGATTGATATGGTTAACCCTGTAGAACCGGAAACACGTATCACATATAATGACGAGAAAACTGTAAGTTTGTTTGGTTTCATAATTTCATTTTTTTTTCTCGAACAATAAGATATTATAAATAATTGTATGTTATTGTAGTATTCAGTTAACTATCAATTTTTTACATGGATAAGGGCCAATTTATTCATTTATTTACAAGTATGGCTGTATACATACATATAGATTTCCATTGTTTCACACGATAAGCAATCCGCATTCGTTGACAAAATACGGATTATACCGGAACTATAATTCATTTAGTTCGATGCAAAATGTTGGCCAAGATAACCGGATGTTGAACACAGAATGCTCGGATGTTTGCCAAAGATAGTCCATGACTATAATACTAAAAAAACATTCTTCCTTATATCATATCGTGTTCGTACATTTGTTTAATTTTCATCACAACTTAAACGGAGCTTCTGTGTGACATATTAGAACTGAATGCGACTAATCACCGATTTTTTTTCCCACTTATAATCAGTAACACAACGGGTGTCACTAATGGAGTAAGAACTGCTTACCGTTCCAGAGCAACTAAGTTCACCCCGGTTTGTGCTCTCCAATCTTCAAACCACCTCGTCATATTGTAGATGTTCTATTCACAGCAGAATTAAACGATATAAAGCATATAAATTTATATATATATTGAATAAGGCTTCATTTGGTTCATAATAAAACGCTTTGTTCATTTGGTTTATATTTGAACGCTGTTTGTTCTTTTGCTTCATAATAGAATGCTTTAATCATTTGGTTCATAATAGAACGTTTTGTTCATTTGGTTCGTAATAGAACGCTTTGCTCATTTGGTTCTTAATAAAACGCTTTGTTCATTTGGTCCATATTGGAAAGCTTTTTTCATTTTCTTCATAATAGAACACAATGTTTATTTGATACTTGATTTCATAGATTTTTTTCTGCATACACAAGTATGTAGGAAATTTGTATTTCATTGAATATTTGAATTAGTGGTCCATGAAATCCACAAAAACTAGAGTACCCTGCGATTAATAATGAATCCACAGTAGTGTAAATTCAAATGAAATCAAAACGAAAAGATTATTGTCTTCCTAAAATGAACGAGACCTGACAATTTTACGGATTTCCTCCCATGCATGAAATGTGTCGATCTGATTGTTCTTGGAATGGGATAATAATACGGACTCTATACATTTCTTATGAAATCACGTACTTTGAACCCGGATCCCTACCTCTTCGACAAAGTACATATTGTTTTTATCCTGCACTTAACCATGATTTACGCTTTAAATTTAGTCTTTTTTATCCTCAAACAGCTATTTTAGATGAGTTTTTGAATCTTATAGAAATCGACTTGGTTTAAACGCGGACCTCGATGAGGACCTCAAAAATCAACTGTGACGTAATCAGTAATTTTAACTTACTTTACCATTCGCTCAACTTCTTTCTTTCAACAGTTATGAATCGCCGTTCTATATCGGCGCACTCCTACCTAGTAGGATGGCTAATGCGCTATATTCAAATATACATCCGAACCCACTAACAACTCATATCAACACACAAAAGAACGTGCCACTAATCCACCAAATCATGCATATATATATATAACGGTAACGGTAAAAGCGTGCCATACAAATACTGAGGGTGGTAAAGGGTTATTTTCGTGCATCGTTTTTGGCTTTTTTATTTCACGTGTTTTCGTGTTTTTACGTTTTATTTCTCGTTTTCTCGTGTTTGGTTCGATGTGCGTGCTTCGTGTTTCCCCTTATTTATTTTCCGTGTTCCGTACGTGTCGGTACTCGGCTAAATTTCTCGTGCTTGTCCCGCGTTTGATTAAAAAGTAAACCGGGACTAATTCAAAGTCACCTCGGAAAATTCTATATTATATGTATGGTATGTAATAAAGTCCATCAAATTACTATGAATAATACTTTTTTTTCAAATCAGATGCAACTAGCGGACGCTAAAAGGTGATTCATGTCTATTAATAATGACTGCATGATCTCCAAGAACGGCTGAGTAATAATTTCTAGTACGATTTTCCTTAATATTTACGATTTAATTTCTCGTGTTTCGTTTTTCCTGATTTTTATTTTCCGTGCAACGTTTTTTCGATTTTTATTTCATGTGTTTCCGTGTTCAGGTCCCCCCTTTACCACCCTCAAATACTGTGTTGTCATTTTTAAAATGTTTATACAATGTGCATTACAGTGCAGTTGCGGTTAAGGCGGATGATAATTAATGCGCTTAATGATCATCATTGCTCCATGCCTAAAATACTAGTTGCTATTATATGCTAGGTGTGCGGATATATACATTAGCTTTATAGCAGTCTATAGGTAAGCACTAAAGGTTAACGTCTTCTACTTTAAATATACTGTTAATATTGGATAAATGCGTTCAACTGCAGAATATGTAGAATATGTTCAACATTTAAGGTACATTAAAGCACTATGCGGCAAATACGCAGGAAAAGAAAAATGTTAAAGCACTATGTAGTAAAATGTCCAAACAGATAATAGGTAAATAGCCCCTTAAGCACTAGCTAGTGATATGTTCTATATATTAATATATTAAGCACTTCTCAAGCGGATTGTAGTTATTTTGGAAAAGATAAAATGCTTCTACATATGCTGTCAATACGCCCTCGCCCCTACGCTGCCATCTGTCTCATTCTACTGGTAAGCATGTCGTAGCAGAACAGCCGTGTGAGGTTCCCTAGCTCTGTGTATTGTTGTTGTTTTATATGGAATCCATAGTTAATGCTTTTGTGTGTACAGTCGATCACAATTTGTATAAGCATGTCACAGTCAACTAAGAGCCCATTCTTTAATTTTTCCAGGTAAGATTTTATTTTCTGGGGGTGCCTTTCACGTGTATGCTTATGTCTACTGCATGAGAGTATCAGGTGCTCTAGATCTTCATCTGCTGTATTACAAAATGTACATATTGGGGATATATTCTTATTGTGTCTAGACCTAACTGTCTGTAGCATGTATGTATGTAGTCTGCTCTTTATTTCTCCTGTTTTCACATTAGTTAGGTTGTTTCCTGTACACTGCCAGATATTATGCGGCATAAAGGATGGGTTTTCCTGTATTTGAAGGTATGCCAGTGTCTTTTCATTGGACTGGTCTTCTAAGAATACTTCATGCCAGTATCTATTTTGATTATATCTTAACTATCCTTTTCCATTTTTCCTTTGATTTTGGGTGTTGCATAAGATTATCAACAGGTTCCATCCCGTACTTGGTCAGAGCTTCCTGTACTCTATTTATAAATATATTGCTTTTTTCATTTTTCATTGCAATTTGACGTTCTATGATTTGAAATTCTAATGAGTTGTTGTTTCTAATTATGTTCATCAACCAAGATAGCATATTTCGGTCTATCACCATACGGATCGGTACTGCCCCAATTAATGTATAGACTGCTGTGCTGGCTACCTGAATGGGAACCTACGGTCTAAAATACCTAAACTTATACATCAACATAAAAGCAAGATAGCAGTAGACTTTATTTGGACAATAACAAATAGAGAAACACTTTATTTTTATGCCTGTTTTTCGTATAATTAGTTTGATGTTTGCAGGTTAAATAGCTATAGTAATTTTATTCCATATTGTATTAGATTTAAAACAGTCAAGATATTTTTAAGTGGTCCTCTTGTGCTTAAAATCCATCATCTGATTTTGAGAAGTTAGTTAATATACTTATAGTTAGTTAATAAAAAATTAGTGTATGTTCGCTTCTATTCTCATTGGTGTCTAATATAATGTTGTAATTGTTTCTCTACTTGCACACATTCGATGTGACTTGGAGTACAATGCCATCTTGAAACCTTACACAAATAGATTACAGAGGACACAGCAATCACCATTGGCATTAAATGAAATTGGATACTCTGCATTTATCATGCTTTTCAATAACATATGGTCAAATCGCTGAAGACCCCCCCCCCCCCCTCCTATATCAATGAAAACCATCATTCTGCATTGACTATAATATCTTGGTGTAAATTAGATGCACCAATTCGGGGTAAGGCCCTCAAGGTGTATCTAATACATATATCCTTTTTCTCTATTATATCAATCGTTTGATAACCTTTGGAATTTTGACTATTTTAGTATCAAACTTATCATTTCAGAAAATGACGGCAATACACGACTCAGAGATCGACTCTTGTTTTTTGACTGACTATGATCCCGAATGGAACCTAAGTGGTGAGGAAAAGACGAAAATTTCTAAATCTATGGTAAGTATTTGCGAATCAGCAAAAATTACCAGATTTACAACATGAGTATAGGACGGTTGTCAAAAATAGAGCAGGTACTTGCATACCTGAATGGAGCACTAAGGAATATGTGGTGTATACTTCAGTGAGAAGTCAATAGCACGAACCTTATTGACATATAGAATTGAACCTACGGTCTTAAATACCGGAACTTTTTCAAGCTCTGATAAACTTTACTGAGACCTGTACAAGTTTGGATATTTTTTTTTCATAAGACTACTTTAAATTTTTAATTAATAATGAATTCCACAAAGTCCTTAATGAACAAAAATATCATTGACGAGGTTCCTGGCATAGGACGGGCACAATAATATATGCTGTAATTACTTTCATGATAAAATTCTGTTGACAGTTTTCTTCAGTTAAAAAAATTAAAGCAATTTGATTTTTAAAAAATTCTTATCGTTAAATGTCTTGCCTTATCTTTATGGTTTGAAAGTCTATATTGCATCTCAACATAAACATTTTGTTTTTTCAGTGCTATCTAAGAAATAAATTAAATTTTAGATAAACATGTAACTGTGCTTAACATCGTCTGCCAATACATATGCTGGTAACAGACACAAACAATCAGATAGTTTTAACATCGTCTGCCAATACATATGCTGGTAACAGACACACAAGCAATCAGATAGTTTTAACATCGTCTGCCAATACATATGCTGGTAACAGACACACAAGCAATCAGATAGTTTTAACATCGTCTGCCAATACATATGCTGGTAACAGACACAAAAACAATCAGATAGTTTTAATATCGTCTGCCAATACATATGCTGGTAACAGACACACAAACAATCAGATAGTTTTAACATCGTCTGCCAATACATATGCTGGTAACAAACACACAAACAATCAGATAGTTTTAATACCGTCTGCCAATACATATGCTGGTAACAGACACACAAGCAATCAGATAGTTTTAACATCGTCTGCCAATACATATGCTGGTAACAGACACACAAGCAATCAGATAGTTTTAACATCGTCTGCCAATACATATGCTGGTAACAGACACACAAGCAATCAGATAGTTTTAACATCGTCTGCCAATACATATGCTGGTAACAGACACACAAGCAATCAGATAGTTTTAATATCGTCTGCCAATACATATGCTGGTAACAGACACACAAACAATCAGATAGTTTTAACATCGTCTGCCAATACATATGCTAGTAACAGACACACAAACAATCAGATAGTTTTAACATCGTCTGCCAATACATATGCTGGTAACAGACACACAAACAATCAGATAGTTTTAATATCGTCTGCCAATACATATGCTGGTAACAGACACACAAACTATCAGATAGTTTTAACATCGTCTGCCAATACATATGCTGGTAACAGACACACAAGCAATCAGATAGTTTTAACATCGTCTGCCAATACATATGCTGGTAACAGACACACAAGCAATCAGATAGTTTTAACATCGTCTGCCAATACATATGCTGGTAAAAGACACACAAGCAATCAGATAGTTTTAACATCGTCTGCCAATACATATGCTGGTAACAGACACACAAACAATCAGATAGTTTTAACATCGTCTGCCAATACATATGCTGGTAACAGACACACAAACAATCAGATCGTTTTAATATCGTCTGCCAATATATATGCTGGTAACAGATACACAAACAATCAGATAGTTTTAACATCGTCTGCCAATACATATGCTGGTAACAGACACACAAACAATCGGATAGTTTTAATATCGTCTGCCAATATATATGCTGGTAACAGACACACAAACAATCAGAAAGTTTTAACATTATATTTGTTTTTATTTCAGCCTTCTAAAACCATCAAATCACCGATTGAATTTCAAAGATTTAAAACCAAAGTTGGTGACGTAATTTCATCGATGTGCAGACGACGCAAACTGTTCTGGATGACAAAACCTAGGGTTCCTCCAAGACCACTGATTCCTCATACACACCATGGTCCAATAGTGCCACAACCTCTCTCACATCATATTGCTGCTCACCCAGTGCCACATCATATTGCTGCTCACCCAGTTCCACATCATATTGCTGCTCACCCAGTGCCACATCATATTGCTGCTCACCCAATGCCACATCATAATGTTCCTCACCCTATGCCACATCATAACGTTCCTCACCATATGCCACATCATATTGTGCCACACCCATTGCTGCATCATATGAACCATAAATCATCTCCACATAAAATGCCTGTACCAGTTCCAGATAGGTATATCGTCCCATCAAAACGAGAAATTAGGAAAGATGTCGAGATTGCACCAAACAGTGATGTGGCTGATGAATACATCATTCCACCTAAACGAAAAGGCTTCCAACACTAAGACTGATGAATACATCATTCCACCTAAACGAAAATGCTTCCAACACCAAGACTGATATAAAAAAAACATTTATTTTGTATTATATATAGGTTTGCAATTGCAAATACAAACTTTTAGTCAAATCAGAGATGTAATTGGAATACAAATTGTGTATTTGCCATAAAATCAAGAAGAAAAAAACAAACCTCATCTCTAAATGATAAAATTGAAGAAAACCAATTTTCCTGTCGACAAAGTGTAAAAACTGCTTTTTTGGTCATGTTTTATATATGTCTTTTATTTACATACACGTTTATATATGTCTTTCATTTACATACACGTTTATATTGTCTTCATTCACATACAATTTAATAAAATAACTATGTTATATACTGGCAAATAAAACATTGAAAGATTTTTGTTGTTGGCGTGTTTGTTAAGATTCACGGGCATGTTTGGTTGAATTTTTGTAGTCGGCTGTGTTGTATGTCTGCGATATATTTTTACATGTAGTTTTAGCTGCTGGATCCCAATTATTGTCACATTAACCTATTTTGTCTGTTTGAGCTGCTCATCCAATTTTGTTAATATAACAGAACTATAAACAACGTTCATAGAAGTGGGGGTTTAACTAGCTATAAAACCATGTTTAATAGAAAAGAAAGGATTTGGAGAATCCATCCACGACACAAAATTAGTGCATGCACAGCAAAAAGCACAGAAAGCAAAGGAACATCGCTTGTATTGCTGTTATTCATCTCAAAGTTACAGTGAGGCCTTCAACACGGAGCAAAAACAATTCTCACCTCAATGGAAGTTTAAGACGGCTTTGAGCAGATACAACCCACCATTTTCTTCGGAAATTTTCTGTACCAAGTCAGGAATATGACAGTTGTTTTCCATTCGTTCCGTCGGTTGATAAAATCTAACGTGTGATTTTGTCAGTTTTTATGGACTTCCCCTTTTTGAATTTACTTTTGAGTTTGGTATTTTTGTTAATACTTTTTTTACAATTCATTATTTTTCAATACTTCATGAACACCCATATCATTCATCCAAAGAGGTAGGGTCAATTATCAATTGCCCCTGTATTTGCCTCACTCACAGAGTCGTAGAAAATCCTGGAATATGCATTTAACTTATGTCATATGCAATCTTCGGCTGAATGCTATTTGTTTATTTTAAGGGAAAAAATAACACAATTGGAAGAATATCAGAGATATTGAAGGAATTAAATTATAAAGGTTAAGTTTATGTTGAAAACAATTCTGGATTGAGTTATTAAGCATTCATGGATGTATTTTATGCGACAATAATCAATTATTTGTATGTCTTGGGTAAGCAATGTTCCTTTAAAGATCAGTTTCTCTACTCTGTATGCTACATTACCATTTTTTTCAATGAAATTTATCATTTGATAAAATAGTATTTCAATCAATCTAGGTGAACATATAGCCTTTATCTTTTGTAGTCTATTCAAATACTTTTTCAATCATAAAAACTAAAAACTATACCTGTTTGGACATACAAAGAAATGATGAGATTTGATTTTGATTTTTGGTGTTTTAACGCCACTTTTAAGCACCGCTTTTGGGCTATTTCGAGGCGGCCAGTTTTTATTGATGGAGCAAGCCGGAGTGCCCGGAGAAAACCACCGACCTTCAATAGGAAAACTGACAATCCTAGTCAATTAAGATTGGAGTCGAGTGCACCCGCAGGAGCGGGGTTCGAACTCATAACCTCAGTGTTGACTGGCTAGTGATTACAGTAGTAACTACTTAGACCACTCGGCCACCGAGGCCCCCAGAAATGATGAGAACCATTGGTTATATCATGGAAGTATTATATTGACGTCATAATACTTCCATGCATGGTTATATGTATATATGTAATTATCAAATTTTGATTGTTTTTGGAAAGGAAGTAAAGCGTCAAGTGATCGGTAGTCATATCGGGACTAGCTGTGTCCCTCTTATGGCATATTTAGTATCAGGGGTTATTAGATCATTATTAGAAGCGAAAGGTCCATATAAAAATGAAATATAGGAAAGTTGGTATGATTGTCAATGAGACAACTATTAAAATGTTGTGGTAAGCAATTATAGTCCACCGTACGGCCTTCAACAATGAGAAAAACGCATACTGTATAGTCGGCTATAAAAGCCCTCGACATGAAAAATGTGAAACAATTCAAACGAGAAATCCGATTTATAACAAAACAATAATACGAAAAACAAAAATGACAGACATGAACAAACAACAATTAGAGTATTACAGGCAAGACCTTATTGTATTTACAAATAAGATGTCAAACTTTGTAAGATGAAAGGGCATATCTTCCAGATTTCCATTGATTTGAAACTCTGGTTTAATTCTTTTTTTCTGATTAATTTTAATGATTCGTCAAATTCAGAAAGACCAAAACGAAACACCTTCAAAAGATATTTTGAACAAAAACTGCAGATATTTATTATAGACATAATATTCTCTGTAAACAATCCGATTTTTCTGAACAAAACAATGAAAACCAAACCTCATCTCATTCTTATACTCAATTAAAAAGAAAGAGGGATCGATGTTCTTTTACCTCAAGTTGTCCAAACAAAGAGCCAATGTGAACTTCTTTTGATGTCTATCGTCATACGTCGTCGTTGCATTTCAAATTCTTTTAAAAAAGTATTCTCCTCTGAAACCACCAGGTTCATTATAATCAAAGAAGGCCTGGATAGACCGTTTTAACTGCTTGCCAATGATTTTGTCGTGTATATAAACATAAAACAGTTATCCCTCTCCCCCATCCCATCATTTAATTTGCTTTTACTTGAAGAATACCAGAATGTCCCACCACAGATAAGGTAACCTGTTGAAAAATATTATACTCCAGAGTCAAAAGTCGGTAATATAAAACTAGTTTACTAGTATTGGCCTTCTGGTTAAAAATTTTGTTCTTGCACACAGATTTACATTGCTGACGACCAACCAACATGACCGTCATCCCTTCGAAATTTTTACGGACGCCATCACGAATTGGTTGACCGTTATGAAATATCTGTTTCAAAGCTGACGACGCATATGTTCCAGTAGTCGTAATCACATTCCCGTCCTTCTTTTTCCCGAATGTGACCTACCGAATTAGACTTATCACCGGGTTTGTATTAATATGAGCAACATGACGGATGCCACGTGTGGAGCAGGATCTACTTACCTTCTGGAGAACCTGAGATCGCCCCCGCTTTTTGGATGGGTTCGTGTTGCTCAGTCTAGTTTTCTATGTTGTGTTTTGTATTTCAGTTCTTGACACATCTTTCCAGAAATTGGGTAATCAATGTAGGTTGGAAATATTTTGTTCTTTGAAATTTATAGATCTCGAAGCATATATTATAGTTCAAAACTGTTTTATTAGATTTTATAAAAGTAATCTATTTATTTAAATTGTTACCACATTTTAACCTAAATTCTGTATAACTTTTAAAGAGGTAAATCATATAGATAAATACTTTACTTCAATCTAAGTTTACTGCTAAATTTTTATTGCATGCTATATGTGTGACTGGCGGATTCTAATTTTGTATTTCAGGTTGTTTTATATCTTTGGACTGTTTTATGTTAACTATGTATATGTTTTTATATTCGGTCAAAAGCGCCTTGGAGCTTGTGTTGTATATTTGACCTATGCCGAATCAAAATATAAAGTTTTCTTATCTTATTTTATTGATGGTTTGCCGTACGTAAAGAATAGGAATTTCTTTGCGTAAACACCTGAGGGTTTAAGCAGTATATATTGGACGACCTCCGTAGTATTTCGGAACCCCGGAAGTCTTTTTCGGAATACATCTGTTCTTTTCTACGACCACCTGCGTAATAGGTAATTAATTGATCTAATGAATATTCATTACCGTTATACCGTTGTTGAAGAGATAAGTGTTTATCGAGCCTATCTATTTTAACAAGTCTAAATTGAAAACAATGTTCAAACCTATGATTGCGTTGGATAAATACCGCAATTTTTATACGTGTGCATGCAAAACAAATTTCTTGGTAGAGGGGTCTAAATACAGCACAAACAACATTTTTCAAAAGACCAAAAAAGTGAAAAAGTATATTTTAACAAAACGCATTTGACTAGCAGGTCGAACAACGGATGTTCTTAAACCCTGCTGATTGTCATGGCGATTGCCAAATAAACGGATCACAGATGTAACAAAATGGATCTTAATTATCAATTTAATACCAAACAGAAAACAATAAACTTGCGGAAAAGATGGTATACCGCAAACATGAGATGCAAAAATTTGTACACCATATCCGGATTTCGACAATTAATGTCTCTTAAGTGATGTTAGGAATCGAAACGGTATTTGGAAGGCCATATAATTTACCTCAATTTGGGATTGACTCTTGAATTTTGAAGAGTCGAAATAGGATGAACCGATCATATAAACCCGAAGGCAAATATAATACAAGCCCAAACGAAAAAAAAATAACAAGTCTAAATTGAAAACAACGTTCAAATCTATGATATCGAGAATATATATATATATATATATTTGATATGCTCTGGGACTATTATACTAATATATTTTGTCACAGATATCCTACATCAGTAATTAATTGAGAAAAGATGATGTGTGAAGTTTTCTGAAGCACAAGCTGTGCTCCCATATGGGATAAGATTTTAAGCGAAAAAAGTGACTGTCAGTGAATAGATAGACCGTTTTTATGATTTTAAAATTTGGCCATTTTTTAGCGAAATAAAAAAAGAGCGCAGTCTATTTAAGCAGCGTTTAAATTCTTAACAGAATAAAGTACGGCCATACGGTTGCCAGTAATTGCTCACCTCCACTTCATTTTAACTCTAGTGGATAGTTGTCTATTTGGCAATCATACCATATGTCCATATTTTTTATCAATCTTATATATAAACAATGCCAGTTAACCCTGGAAATTAAGACGAAATTAAAAAGGCACTTTTTTGGTGTGTTAAATCAGTGAAATATAATACAGTATTATAAGTGTCTTGCCTATTAAATGCAAAATTATGTCATATCAAAACAGTTGATTGATGAATACGCGTTAAACTAAGTCCTTAAAATTATTCTATAGATCTATATAAAACGATTCACGAACACCGAATTTCTAATTCTTTCATGAAAACTTATGGTCATTGCAATAAACAAAAATGGGGTTTGATATATTCCTCGATGTTTGCCATCGAAAACTATTGTAAATTACTACCGATATGTTGTTTTTGAGAAAAGATTAGCAATATTGTTTACGTACTTATTTAGTGATGATTATCATTTCAAGTCAGAGATGCGTTTGTCTTCTCTTTTGTTTGGGGGGGGGGGAGGGAAGAGGGTGAGTTTTCAAAGGGACACTGACCTGTGTCGACAACCCTCTCCAAAAATATAGTTAT